GACTGGGGTAATCGGGATGGGTGTGTCAGCGGCAGTGCGGTTGGCGCAGGATAGAGCAGGGTTTAGGGCTGTTGTGCACAGGGTCGCTATGAGTTGCAGACGACCTGACGGCACATAACAACAACAACAACAACAATTGCATTGGACATATTGCTGTCAAACACCCTTTTGAAGTGCTAAATAGGAAGGCTATCTGCTTAAACATGAAGATTACCATGCTTTATCCAAGCCATGGTTTGGGGTGTTTTTTAAAAAATAATTTTTTTTTTGTACTGGTTTGCTCACAAAGTTTGTATACATTGTTTTTAAAGCCATGGTATTTTTCTGTTGCTTTCTTATACATCTGCAAATTAGACAATAAATAAGGAAGATCAAAGAAAACTTGATGTCTTTGAATTGTAATGTAGGAGACATGTATTGAATATCCCAAGGACTGCCACAAGAACAAACAAATTTGTCTTGGAAAGTGTGCAATGAGGGTACTCCTCATAGTCAGAGATAGTGGAACTTCATCTCACACGCTTTGAGCATGTTGTCAGAAAGGACGAGTCCTTGGGAAAAGACGTGCTGCTGGGAAGGATGAGGCTCAGCCAAAAGGAGCCTCAGTGAGATGGATTGACACAGTGACTGCACTGTTGGGTTTGAACGTGGCCGAGATTGTCAGGATGATGCAGCACAAGACAGCATTGCTGTCTGTTGTTTGTAGGGTCTCCATGAGTTGTAGTTAACTCCATGGCCCCTAAAAACAACAGACATAATTCTTCACTAAGCTCCTATCATCCCTTCTTCAGAGTGTCAAGATCTTGAAATTAATTTGTTTAGAATTCATTTATATGATCATTACAGTAAAATATGTTTTTGAGCCATCCAATGTCATTTACTTCTAAAACAAGCACAAAATGAAATGGAAGTCAACATATCTTACCTGTAAGCTGCAGACTTGTTATCTCTGGGGCTGTTATTGGTGGTATCTGTGTCAGTTCCACATTTATGCAGCTTATGGTCTTGGAGGACAGAAAGCATCTGACTGGAAGAGGTGGTGTTCTAGGAGGAGCAGGTACCGGAGATAGAGAGGGAATTTGGGGAATGTCTCCTCTGACATGTTTGTCATCTTTCTCCTCTCTGCCGTGATTCGGCTCCTTCTCTTGAGATAGCTGCTTTACTTCCTCCTGTCTCCTCTCCTCACTGTGCACTTCACTCCTGGCTTGAAGTCTAGGGTTGTTTTTCTTTTGCTTTGTATCTTCACTGTCTTTAATTTCTTCATCCTCATCTTCTTCAGATTGAAATGTTCCTTTTTTAAATTCTTGGCCCATTGCTGCCTGAGTAGGTCGCTGTTGCTTATGAAGTGAAGTGGTGAGTTCTTTTTGTTCTGAGGAATCACCAGAAAATTAAGTGCAATTACTTAGTGCTGTACCACTGCACAGGAAATAGCTTAATGACCAAGAGAAAAGTGGACGTAGGGGCAAATCAATTATCTTAATAAAGGCTAAAGAGAAAATGTTGTTATTGAGTACCGTTGAGTCAGAACCCACCCTTAGCTGACCCTCCAGCAAGTTTTCAGAGGCAGTTAGTCATAGGAGAAGAGATTGCCTATCCATCTCCCTTGGAGCAGCTGCTGCTGGTCTTGCACCTCATGCTTTTGAAATTAAGTGCAGCTTCTTGCCACTAGACTACCAGAGAAATATTAGTATATATTATTCCCTCTGAGTATTTTGGTACTAAAGATAACATGCCAGTTCAGATTTTTGCTTAAAAAATGTTAGTAATTTTACTTCTGTTCTTAAGAATCTTTGGAGGGTTGATTTCCCCCCCCCTTTTTTGACCCCTGGGCCTTAATACATATTTTCACTTAAATAAGATTCTACATAAATAACTAAAGAGGGAATAATATTGCCACAAGGTACAAAATGACAAGCAATCCTATTGTGAGATTATAATATAATCAGATGTGATACCTGTCTAATGAATACTGTTCAGTTAATTAGGCCTATTGATATTTAAAAAACTATAGGCTATCATCCAGATATAAAAATGTGAAACTTACTTTTACTTCCTTCTCATAATGAAATAAACTTCTGCTTATAGCTTTATTATTACTTTTACCTGATTTATTTCTACTCCACAAACCTAGTATAAAATAGTCCCCATTTCCCTTCTAGATTCTGCTTAATTCACTTATCAGAGAGTTGGTTGCAGTATTTTATCTTACTTAGACACATGCACAAGAGCACTCATGATGCAGTGGCAAGAAGCTGTGCTGTAATCCTGAAGGTACCCAGTTAGAGGCCACAAGCTGCTCTATGGGAGAAGGATGAGCAATCATGCAGTTAACTGCCTCTGGAAACCTCAGTGGTACACAGAAATAAACAACATGCAAAAGAGTGCTTTTTTAAAATTTTTATTATTTTTGTATGTGTGTGTACTATCAAATCGGATCTGACTGGTACAGGAGGAGATTGTCCCTCCTTCTCCAGCAGAGCATCTGGTGGATTCAAACCACTCATCTCTGGGATTGCACTAGGCCACCAGAGCTCACCACAAGAGTGCTTTTTATCATTTCATAAGTGTGAGAGCAGACTAGCTATTAGTGTCTAACCATTATTTTTGTAAGCAGAAATTGGGGAAGACATTACAAAAACTGGACTGAAAACTGACCTGCCAAATGAAAAGTTCTTGGAAGAATTGATTGTGTTCACAATTACCTAACTTTTCTTTCACAAACCTTATAAATTTATTTTATCATCTCCCTGCTTTCATTTAATATTTTACATTAATTAGTCTAATAGAGAAATTGGAAAATATAATTATTTGAAGAAATTTCTTGAATATCAATGCTGTGTTTAGAATAACATTTGTCAATTATAGTTTCACATCTCTAAAAGAACATGCAAGGAGTAAATAGAAAAAATTAGTGAAACTAATGTTGTCATATATAAACACTTAGTATCCTTCCAGCAGCTCCAAGTTTATTGGTTAAAATAACCTTTACATTTCAAGAATTTTTAAATATCCTTTGAAATCTGAGAATTTTTGGATCTTATGTGAAGCTCTAATGGCATAGTAGGGATCTCTGATGACTTAGTGATAAAGTGGTAGATTATGGAATTTCAGAGATTTTCATAGGAAAACCAGATTACTATGATGTTCATAGCAGTGCTAGTCATAAGTGCAAAAACATGGAGACAACCCACATCTCCATCAACAGACAAGGGAAATGAGAAATTGTACAATGTTCATTCACATCATGGAATACTGCCCAGTACTCAGCAATGATTTCGTGAAATACTACATAACATGGGGAAGAGAGCATTATGCTGAGTGGACTAACTCAGTCCCAATAAGGACAAATACTGCATAAGACCATTAATGTGAAAATAGAAGGATAACTAGGAAGATGCCCTAGATAGGAAAAATCCAAAGGGGGAAGGGGAGAGAGCAGAGGTGTTGAGGGTGGGAAATCACAGGGTTACAGTTTGGTGGGCAGACAGAGGGAGTAAAGAAACTAGGAAGGATCTCATGGGGACCTGAAAAGATGGGCTAATGGTGAGCATAGATCAATGGTGATTAATTTTATAAAACATAGTATATGGGAATGATCATATGAAATACACTGTACATGAAAGAATGTGTAAAACACAGTGTGTGTGAAAGAAATTCAGTGTATACAAATTCTCTATGCAAATCAATATAATTTTTTTTTTAAATGTTGTGCAGTCAACCCAAAGTCACAGATAACAAATCCACCCGCTGCTGATCAGTTTCCTCCTGTGCCATTTACTGCCTCTGAAAATTTACTGGAGGGTCGGCCATGTCTCTGTTCAAACTCGACAGTACATAACAACAATGATGTAGTAGGCTGGGCTGCTAACCGAAAGATAGGCTGTTCAAATGCACAGACTGCTCTATGGAAGAAAGGTGAGACTGTCTGCTCCATTCATATTTACAACCTTGGAAACCCTCCAGAGCAGTCCATTCATCCTGCAGGATTGCTGTGCATCAGAGTCAATCCTACTGCAGTGAGGTTTATGTTATATACCTTTTATTTAATCCAAAAGATTTCATTTCATGCAACATTTCTATTTTCTATTTTTTTAAAACATATACTTCAATGAAATAAGTTATAGTGTAAAACAAAATACATTTACTAAATATTCTCTTTTTTTTTTCCTGGCAGAAGACATCTACCCTTCTGGTTATTCTGCTTGCATGGTAATATATTAGTCAGAGACATAGAAAATTGTCCTTTCCCATTAATTAACTACAAATATTTATGTGCTTATTTTAACAAGGTATTGATTGCACTGTCTTTTCTTGAAATATCCATGTGTAAAATAGAAATACATGTTGCTCTAATGCAGTCATTTGGATGTGTGTGGGTTTTTTTGTTGTTGTTGTTGTGAAAAAAAGGTAATGACTAATTCAAACTGCAGACTATATAATATCTTTTATCTTCTAGAGTAAGTGCTTCAGGTCCTCTATAATTGATAAGATTAGTGAGCAACTAAAAAAGGCAGTGTATGGCTACCCTGTGCACAGAAGTGCCACAAAAGACAGCTGTTCCAGGGACATGGCTTCTATTCTATTACTTTCTCTTATCTAAGGAATAATAACTTACAAGTTTTTTCACTGTCTTTGAGTGGTTGAGGACTGAGGTCCATTTTCATTAGATGGAAACCATTCCTCCTTTTTTACCATGAATTCTGTGCATTTAAGTGAAGATAATTATTGTCCCTGTGTTCTGTTAAGAGAGATAATACATGTAAAGCATAAGCAGAGGTCCTAGCACATAAGAGCTTATATGTGTTTATGTCTGTGTGTATCTCATCACATATGTGTGTATATGTATATAGATATATAGATCCATGTATTACATGTAGAAACCAGCTGTTAATGGAAAGGTTGGCAACAGAATTCCACCGGTAGATCTAATGAGAATAAGCCTGGCAGCTTACTCATGTAAAGCAGACTAACTCATTGCCATTGGGTCTGGACCAACTCAGAGCTGACCCTCCAAGTGGGCTTTCAGAGGCTGTAAATCAATTGGGATGAGATGGATGGATTTGAACCATCCGCTGTTAGATTGGTAGCAGAACTTCACTAAGCCAGTAGAGCCTAGGAAATCTCACTGGGGTAGGTGGGGGGAGGGGGCAGTTGTGCTGTTACATGATGAGGATGAGCCAGAATTGACACAACAGCACATAACAACAATGCTAGTTCCAGAAAATGCTATTACTGAATCTTTAAAGTTGACCTATATTGTATATTTCTTCTGTGTCTTCCAATTCCTTTCGATACAGATGGAAGGAATATACTGAGTCACTGTATCGAAAGGAATTGGAAGACACAGAAGAATTTCATGAAACAACATATGAGCAAGAGCCTATGGTGATGAAAGAAGAAGTTCAAGATGCTTTGAAGGACATGGCTAAAAATAAGGCTCCAGGAATAGATGGTATACCAATTGATATATTTCAGTTAACAGATGCTGCCGTGGACGTGCTCACCAAGTTGTGCCAAGAAATCTGGAGAACGACCACTTGGCCAACTGACAGGAAGAGATCGATATTTGTTCCCATTCCAAAGAAAGGTGACCCAACTGAGTGTGGAAACTACAGAAAGGTGTCATTGATTTCACATGCAAGCAAGATTCTACTGAAGATTATCCAAAAACGATTAGAACAGCACATCAACAGAGAACTACCAGAAGTCCAGGCTGGTTTCAGAAGGGGTCGTGGTACTAGAGATATTGTAGCTGATGTTAGATGGATCTTGGCTGAAAGCAGGGAATACCAGAGGAATGTCTATCTGTGTTTCATTGACTATGCAAAGGCATTTGACTGTGTAGATCATAACAAACTGTGGCTGACTCTGAGAAGAATGGGAATCCCAGAACACTTGATCGTTCTAATGCGAAACTTATACTTGGACCAGGAGGCAGTCGTCAGAACAGAGCAGGGGAACACTGCATGGTTCAAAATTGGGAAGGGTGTACGCCAGGGATGCATCCCATCTCCATACCTTTTCAACCTATATGCAGAACAGATTATCCGGGAGGCTGGGCTCTATGAGGAGAAATGTGGGGTCAGGATTGGTGGACGATTTATCAACAATCTGCGTTATGCGGATGACACAACCCTGCTTGCTGAAACTGAGGAGGACCTGAAGCGCCTGCTGCAGAGTGTCAAGGACTGCAGCCTACAATATGGATTGAGGCTCAATGTCAAGAAGACTCACCACTGGACCAATTGGTAGCATCAGGATGGATGGTGAAGAGATTGAGATTGTACACAGCTTTAGTTTGCTTGGCTCCATAGTCAACAGTCTTGGCACCAGCAGCCAGGAAATTAAAAGGCGCATTGCCATGGGAAAGTCTGCTGTTAGGGACCTCTCCAAAGTGCTGAAGAGCAGTGGTGTCTCTCTGGAGACTAAGGTGCGTCTGATACAGGCCATGGTCTTCACAATCACCTGCTATGCATCAGAGAGTTGGACAATGACCAAGGAGGATAGAAGGAGAACTGATGCCTTTGAGCTGTGGTGCTGGAGAAGAGTACTGAGAATACCATGGACTGCTAGGAAAACAAATAGATTTGTCCTGGAGAGGGTTAAACCGGGTGGCTCCTTGGAGGCAAGGATTCTGAGGCTCCGTCTAACTTACTTTGGACATGTAGTGAGGAGAGACCGGTCCTTGGAGAGGGACACCATGCTTGGGAGGGTGGAGGGACGGCGCAGGAGAGGAAGGCCCTCTATGAGGTGGATTGATTCAGTGACTGGGATAATTGGGATGGGAGTGTCAGAGACAGTGCGATTGGCACAGGACAGAGCGGAGTTTAGGGCTGTTGTACATAGGGTCGCTATGAGTCGCAGGCGACTCGACGGCACATAACAACAACAACAACAACAATGTTGTATATTACAAGAGTGTAAAATGTGCAGCATAAACTAATCCAAGTTCACTAACTCGTTCTGACAGAATTGAATCTTTTCTATATTTCCAGCATTATACCAAAATTAAATTGAATTGATGACTTTATCATTATTTAAAACTTAAGATAAAAAAGAATAGCAGTTAAAGGCTAAGATTTTACCACATGTGATGTTTGGGTTTGGGGCAATAATTTTACCAGTTTCAGAGCAGACTGGGCAGCATTCTCCATCAGGTTTAAATGTATGAGGGCAATTCTGGGGGCGGCATGTAGTTTCATCACAAAATACTCTTCCGTTCGAGCACAGGCAGGTCGTGCAAGGTTCAGGAGACCATACAGCTTTGTTGTACATTACCATCCCCTTGACCAAGCAGTGCCCGTTTTTTCCTGGAGCAACACAAATAACATATGGAATACATTAGATTCTAATGTATATTTCTGCAGCTGTGAACAGAAATAAATGAAACGTGAAGTCAAACTGACATAACCAAGCAGGAATTTGTTCTTTGTGTGTTCACACATAAGGAGTTAATACTTTAACCATGTAACCCTCTAAAATGTTTTTCAGACCTTAGCTTTCCTCACTCAGGCTGTGAGAGTGACCTCCTCATAGTGGATGTGGGCTCCATGAATTCTTTTATTAGTCAAGATAATCTAAGTTATATATACAACAGCAACAACAGCAAACCCCCAAATTTTAGTTTGTTTCTCATTCATACTTTGATCCAAGGTGGAAACTTGGAACTCTGCTGATTGTTGTCCATAATTGACCCCAACAGAAGGCTTCATCTCAAAGCAGTGCTGTTGTGTGCTCTACAGCAGAGCTGGGAGAGAGTGTGAACCACAACGTGCTCTGAAGTGCCTGGTTTCTCTGGCTGAGACAAATCATGTGGCCATAGCAATGTCAGAAATGGCATGCAGTGGCTGTTGTGGCTAAGGTTATATGTCACCTTGTCTGTGCACTGATTATTTTGGGTCTTACAATTATGTGATGACATAATCATCTACCTTGTGATTTGACATGGTCATCCTCAATTTTTATATCATACTAACTTTTGCTTAATGACTCATTTTTAGAATTTAACTATAATATGCTTAAAAGAGGTGTGAGTATATAAAAAATAACTCTTAAAAGGATCAATGACTTAAATAAAAGAGAACTATAGAAAGGCTATATATCTTATTGAAATACATGAAATATCCAGAGAGACAGAATATAGATTGCCAGGGGCCAGGGAGCAGGAGATATCAGAGACCGCTCTATTCTGTGAATGTCCATGTGCTTAGAGTGAGGCTTACAAACTAACTGAGTCTCTTTAGGAATGATTGCTCTTATTTTTTTTTTTTTAAAAGACATCCTTTTTAAAAACTTTTATTTTATATTGGTTTGCTTACAGAGTTCATATACATTGTGTTTCACACTGTTTTCAGTAGCACTGTGTTTCATCATTCCTGCTCTTGATGGGCACAGATTTTATTTTGGGGAACTCAAAATGTTTATGAGCTGATGGATAGTTTATTATGAATGTATTAAGTGCCATTGAATTGTATACTTAAGATGATAAATTTTATCCTATGTATATTTTGTTACAATTGGTAAAATGCAATACAGGATCATTTTAAAATATTCCTAGACAATTTAGAGATGTTTAGTATACATCTTCTAATCCTTTTTATGCATATCACTTTTATTACATACTTTTCCTGTTTATAAAAATTTAAAATAGATTTCAAACATTTCTTTTAAGACTTTTCATTTTCTTTTATAAGTTGAGCATACCTGATTATAATATTTAAAAAATGGATTTCTTTGCCTCTGTATTCTCATTTCCCAGACAAACTGTAAATGTATGCTAGGCTTCCTATTCTCATGTTGTTGTTGTATACCGTTGAGTCAGAACCATAGCTAGCCTCCAGAGTGTTTTCAGAGGCATTAAATTACAAAAGAGGATTGCCTGTCCTTCTTCCAAAGAGCAGCTGGTGGATTCAAAGTGGGAGTCTTTGCAATTGTAGTGCAGTTTCTTACCACTATGCCACCAGAGCTTCCTTATTATAAAATAATCCCTATTTTTCAGGATAATTGTGTGTTATTCCTAGTAAAGTGGTGGAAATAACCGAGTTTATATGACTTGGTTTTAACAAGATAATAATTCAAATTATTAACCACAGAATATCATATTAAATTATTTTTTAAAAATTATTTTACAGTAATTTTGTTTAATGTCAACATATTTATGATATAAATTGTTGTTTTCTGCCAACTCTAAAAATATGGACTATAAAATACAACAGGTATGTTTTTTTGTAAATGCTTGGTTGAAATCTTTGACAGAACCTTTAAAAATTTAGTACCATAGTCTCCAACTTATAACATATTGAGGTTACAATAGTGTGCTCAACATTATCTAGCTTTCAGGTTTTTGACTGTAGGATTTACTACATAAAACATAGGCAGAAATACATGTCAATAGAGTTGTAGCAGGATATGAAAGCTTGGAAGAATAAAAAAGGAGGTATTTGCCATCAAATCAACTTGCCATCAAAATAAATTTATGATGGTGATCTGAATGGATGTCTGTTAGAGTTTAGGGAATACCTGTAGTTTTCTACACAAAATTAATAAAATGGCTTTAACTCCAGTTTTGCTTTTAACATTTTTCTATGATATGAGTATAAATAAAGTGAAAAATCATGAGAAAACTTGCCACTAAATGAGACAATATTTACTTAAACATTGTTTGTTGTTGGTGTTGTTGTTGATTGCCATTGAGTTGAGCAGGACTCATAGCAACCCTATGACCAAAAGATCTGAGGCCTTTCTATAACTATTGCCATTTCTCAAAGTTCCTAGAGTTTCCAGATGCATGTTGTTTAGGAAGTGGATGCTGCCTGTATTATTTTCTCTATTAAATAAGTCACATTTAAAAGTATGCTTTTAGTACTAGGAACACTAGTAGAGTGATGTGTAACATATTGGGCTGCTTGCTCAAAGGTTGGCAGTTTGAATCCAAAGGTGGACATCTCCTCGCAGAGCTGTGTAGGCCAGGGAACGCCCTGGAGGGGAGGGTCGCTGTAAGGCAGACTGACTGGCCAGCAGTGAGTATTGCAATACTCCAGCCATAATGGTTGTTCTAAAACCTAATGATATTCAGGTTTATAGGTATTGAAAGTGTAGTAAGACTATAAAAGTGAGAACTTAAAGTGTGAAAATGAGAGTTTAAACTCATGTCCATGATAGAGCAACCTTACAAACATTCATTTAGCTTCTTGTATTGGTCTCTCGCGATTATTTTTCCCTCTTCTCTCATTATGCTAAACGTGATGTAAAAGTTTCTTTGTTCTTTGCCTCTTTAGAAAATAGGCAAACTCCCAAGTACATGCATCTGAGGCCTTAATATTACCCACAGAATAATTAGAAGATAAAATACAAGAAATATAAGACAAAATTAAGAGACTGCTAAGTTATTAGGATTGGAAGCAGAGGTGGCATCCACTTCCTAAACAACATGCCTCTGGAAACTCTATGAACTTTGATAAATGTCAGTAGTTGTAGAGGGGCTTCACGCCTTTTGTTCATAGGGTCTCTATGAGTTGTGCTTGACTCAAAGGCTATTAACAAGAATAAGAAATGGAGATCCTGAGAAATAAGGAAGAAGGGGAAAGTGGCAGGGAAATTTTAAACAGAAAGCTGTATTTAATAATTGTGTATGCATGTTGTTATGTGTGGACATGGGAACTGACTCGTAGCTCACTCTCCAGAAGGGCCTCTGGAAGATGGGATGAGAGTGCACATCCTCTCACAGGGCAGCTGGTGGGTTCCAAGCACGTGCCTGTAGGTTGACAGTGTGGTTTTGCCTTTGTTTTGTTGTTATTTGCCATTGGGTCAACTACGTCTCATAGCAACCTATGAACAACAGATCTGAACCTTGCCTTACCTTATACATCCTAGTTATTCTGGTAGGCCCATTGTTATAGGTAGGCCACCACAGAATTGTCTGTACTCCACATCTACAGCTTTGGTGGCAGGCAATATCCTTAGGGAGATGTGCTACACAGCCAAAGGCTGTGGCTCTCTGTCAGTTGGAATTCACCAGTGATTTCATGGGAAAAACATGGACAATCTCTTGTGCGATTTATAGCCTCAGAGACCCAATAAGGATCAGCTATGAGTTAGTTTTAACTTGACAGCAGTGAGTTTAACTTTTACTTTTGTCCTCTAGATCTATAATTAATAAATGAGAAGGCAGTTTAAAAAGTTATAGTACCCTATCAACAAACGAATGGGTAGAGAAGCTGTGGTATATCCGCACAATGGAATACTATGCTGCATTGAAAAACAAGGAACTCATGCAATATTATTCAAAATGGGTGACCCTGGAGGACATTATGCTAAGTGAGGTATCTCAGTCACAAAGGGACAAATGCTGTATGGTGCCACTGTTGTAGAATGAGGCTGCCATCGGGGTGGGGTAAGGCTGAGAAAAACTGGATGAAATATGTTTATGGCATTGAAGTCTATGGGGGAGAGAATACTTTAAAAGTATTATATTTTAGGGCATTATGTTTATCGTAGGAGTACGCAATGAGGGTTGCAGAGTGGATTATATTTGGGGTGGGGGGTGGAATTGGAGGAGGTGCCGGGGGGATTGTGTACCAATGAGGGAGTTTTTCTTTTGCTTTTCAGGGAGAGGAGCAAACGGGGGGGAGAAGGGTGCAACAATGAATGAATGGAATTCCAAAATCTCTGTAGATGTTCATTGAAATGAAAAAGAAATAAATTAAAATATTTTTAAAAAGTTATAGTACAGCCTTTATGATATGATTAATAAAACAAAATAGTGGTTGTAGTTTTATAGGTTGTTGTTACTGTTGTTGTTATATACCATAGAGTCAGAACCAACCCATAGTTGACCCTCCTGTGGGTTTTCAGAGGCAGTTAATCACAAGGGAGAAGATTGCCCAATTTTCTCTCGCCCTAAATAAGTAATTTTTTTCCCAGTAGTACTGCGTTATCCATAAGTCACTCTTTAAATTCTTTTAAAAGTTATTTTTATAGCTGAAATAGTAATTTGGAATTGTTTTGTTTTTGTGAGTTTTAAAAAATTTTGTTATTCTTTACAAATTATGTCCATGGACACACTCTCATGCTTTTTCTTACCTGGTAACACACTGTAGCTTGATTCTTCTCCAGAAAAGCTTGAAAAGGATTCATATTTTCCCTCCATACTATAAACAAAGTTAATAGCTGGAAATTGTACTGCTGCTGGAATCATAGCTGCTTGCTGCACCCTAAGCTGTCTGTCTGACCTGTGGTTAAGTGAGGAACTTTTCCTTAGTCTTTGATGATACATCTTTCTTCTTTGCTTGCTAGGAGTGTCTTTATTTTGTCCAAAATCAATATGAAAAGTTATAAACAGGAAAAAAGGAAACACAACTTCAAAGTTCATGTTTGGTATGTCACTATCCAACTTCTAGAATGAAAATGAAACAAACATTTTTTTAAGTTAGTCGTTACTAAATTTTTTCCTCTTTTATGAATTTGGAGTTTTCTTATATCACTTAATAAGCAGGTCATTCAGAAGTAACACATATATATTAGACAGAGTAAAAAAACCCTTTTGATATCTCTGCTTCTCGACCAGGATTCAACAATATTTTAATTTTTTTTTAAGTCCAGGACCAGTTCACATGATAGAATGCAGTATGGAATGCACATGATGCAGCAGTAGGAGAAACAGTTTTGAAAATTACTGCATAACTTGGGCTAGACTGGAGATCATTATGTTTAGTGAACTCAGTCTCATAAGTACAAATACTGCATAAGACCATTATTGTGAAAATAGAAGGATAACTAGTAAAACATGTATGGGGACCCAAGGGTGAAACAATGAGAGCTGAAGGGTGAAGATGGGCAGGGGGCAAATGATAGGATCACACAATTTGTTGGGTGGAGGGAGGGGGTAAAGGAAATGGGAAGTATATGGTGGGAACCTGAAAAGACAGGGTAAAGGTGGGCAAAGTTCAATGGTGAGTAATTTTATAAAACATAATGAATTGAAATGATTATATGAAACAATGTGAATGAAGGAAGTGTGAAACACAATGTATATGAACTTTGTATCAAACCAATGTAAAAAAAAAAAAAGTCCAGTATCAGACAGTAAATGTTTTGGGCTCTGTTACAGCAATTCAGTTCTACCACAGAAGTTATCATAGAAAATATATAAAACATGGTTATGTACCGGTAAACTGTTTACTAAAACAAATAGTGGGTTTTAACTTAATGGCCTATGGCTGAAACACTACAGTAACATTTTTAGATGGTTCTGAAGCTAACATTAGTATTTTGCTGCTTGTTGTTGATTTCCTTGGAGTCAAGCATGACTCATAGTGACCCTATGAACAAAAGGCTTGAAGCCCCTTTACAACTATCGACATTTATCCAAGTTCATAGGGTTTCCGGAGGCATGTTATTTAGGAAGTGGATGCCACTCCTGCTTACATGTGATAGTAATGATTTTGTATGATAGTTTCCACATTCTGTTTGATCACCTTTTTAGGGAATGGGAACAAATATAGATCTCTTCCAATCTACTGGCCAGATAGCTGTCCCCCAAATTTCCCGGCGTAGACTGGTGAGCACATCCAGGGCTGCATCTGTTAGTTGAACCAAGTTAATTGGTATCCCTTCGATTCCTAGAGTCTTATTTTTTTTGCCAGTGCCTTCAATGCAACTTCCACTTCCTCCTTCATTACCATTGGCTCCTGTTCATATGGTGCTTCCTGAAATTTTTCAGGGTCAGTCAGTTCTTTTTGGTGCATTGATTCTGTGTATTCCCTTCAACTTCTTTTGTTGCTTTCTGTGTCATTCAATATAGTATCCATAGCATCTTTCAACATTGCGACTTGAGGCTTAAATTTGTTGTTCAGTTCTCTGAGCGTGAGAAAGGCAGAACAAGTTCTTCCCTTTTTATTCTCCAATTCCAGCTCTATGAAGTGTTACTAATTATTCCACTATTAAAGGACTTTGATAAAAAGCTACAATCTCAAAGGCACACAGTTTGAATCCAGCAGGTGATCCATGGAGAAGGATGGGAAATCTGTACAATTTACTGCCTCTGAAAATCTGCTGGAGGGTCAGCTACGGGTCGGTTCTAATTAGATGGCACACTACAACAATCCAGCCAAAAAGCTAATCGACGAACCTGAGAAAAAGCCTGATTTAAATAAATGTTAAATGTAAAATACTAATAATCTCTTGAAGGTTTACAATATATTAAAAACACGTGAAAAAAGCAAAACAAAAAAACAGAATATATCTAAGGATGGAAATTAAAGTTGGTCCTGACCTCTTTCATGTCAAGTAAGATTAAAGGTACTAATTTCATATTAGAAGATAAATTGAGCATGTATATGGTAATCTCTATCACAGAATAACAAAAGGTATATAATAAAATAAACAGTATATCTTGGCAAGCACCTGTGTGGAAGATCCAGGGTGGCAGTCCCCCACTGAGATCAGATTACTGGATTGGCCTCATACCTAGGACATTTCACACTTCACTGCATTGTTTGGCACCTGGTTTTCACACAAACTCCTCAGAATTACCCACAGCCTATCTGTAGATTAGAAGTATACCTCTAAGACAGTGACATCTGGGTAAATAGAAAGGTTAAGACAACTGCTTAGAAAGCATCTCAGCCACCACAACCAGATAAAGGTAAACAATCCAATTGAAAACTGGGCACAGGATATGAACAGAGTGCTGGATAGTATTCCGTTGTGTGAATGTACTACAATTTCTTATCTATTCATTTGTTGATGGGCATTTGAGCTGTTTCCATTTTCAGGCTATTTTTAATAACATTCTTATAAACATATATATACATATCTCCATTTGTGTCTCAGTTCTGATTTCCTAGTGCTAAGGAATTATGCTGCCAACCTAAAGGTGTGCCGTTCACATCAACCAGATTGTGGGAGAAAGATGGACAATTTCTTCCCCTCTGTTTACTACCTCTGAAAGATACCTGGAGTGTGAGCCATAGGTAATTTCTGACTTGACAATACTTAATGACAACATATTCCTAGTAATGGAATAGCTGAGTTATATGGAATTTCTATGTTCAACTTTTTGAGGAAATGTGAAACTGTCTTTCAGAGTGGGTGTAGTTTTACCATTTTATAGTACATGAGAGTTCCAATCTCTCTACATGCTCCCCAACATTTATTGCTTCCTGTTCTTTTAAATTTTGCTACCTGATGGCACCTAACAATGACATCTGCTACTGGGGTAAGATAATATCTCATTATTTCTTTGATTTGCATCTCTCCGAATGCCAGTGATTTTGAACATTTCTTTGTGTCTTCTGGCCATCCTAATGTCTCCCTCATTTTGGAGGCTTTGTAGTATTCTGTAAACTTTCATTATGAGACCCTTGTCTGAGATGTCATAGCCAAATGCTTTTTCCAGTCTGTAGATTTTCTTTTCACCCTATTAAAAAGGTTTTTGATGCACATAGGGACTTAATCTTTAGAAAGTCCTGTCGTCTATTTCATCCTCTCCTGGTTGTGCATTTCTGGCTCTATTTGTAGCTTTTTTATACCATAGGCTAGGCCTTCTAACTTTGGTCCCATTTTGTCTCTTATGATCATTACAGTTTTGAGGTTTATTCCAGGTCTTAGATCCAACTTGAATTTATTTTGTGTATGCCACGATGTGAGGATCTTGTCTTAGCTTTCTGCAAGCAGAAGTCCATTTCGCCAGCAACATTTGTTGAAGAGGTTGTCATATCCCCATTTGATCAGTTTTGACTCCTTGTCAAATCCAACTTACCATAGGTGTTCTTGTTGTTATTCTTGTTAGGTGCTGTTGAGTATGACCCTTAGCGAGCCTATAAATGACATATCTGAACCCTCTCCTATCCTGTGCCATCCTCACATTTCCTGACACACTGAAACCCTTTGCAGAAGTCACCATGCCAATCTACCTATTTGAGGGTCTTCCTCTTTTTCACCCACCCTCCACCTTTCCAAGCATGATGTCCCTTTCCAAGAAATAGCCTTTCCTAGCAACATGCCCAAATCATGTCAGATGAAGCTTTATCATCTTTGCCTCCAAGGAGCAACCTGGCTGTACTTTCCCCAAGACGTATTTGTTTATTCTTTTGACAATCCATAACATAGAATTCTTCTCCAACACCACAGTTCAAAGGCATCAATTCTTCTTGTGTCATCCTTATTCATTATCCAGCTCTCTAATGCATAGCAAGTAATTGCAAAGACCATGACCTGGATCTGGTGCACCTTACTCATTAGGCTGACATCTTTGGATTTCAGCACTCTGGAGAGGTTCCTGACAGTAGATTTTACTAATGAAATCCATCTTTTGATTTCCTGGCTGCTGGGTCCAAGAGTGTTGATTGTGGACTCAAGCAAGAAGAAAATGTTAACAATTTCAATCTCTTTTCCATCTATCATGGTGCTTTGTTTTCTTGATATTGAGTTTCAGTCCACATTGAAAGCTGCAGTCCTTGACTTTCTGTAGCAGATGCTTCTTATCCTACTCAGTTTCAGCAAGCAAGGTTGTATCATCTGCATAACCCAAGCTGTTGATGAATCTTCATCAATTCTGATGCCACAATCTTTCTCATAAAGACCAGACTCTCAAATGATCTGTTACACGTACAGATTGATTGCTCCTCAATAATTTGGAGAGGTTCTTGACTACAGACTATCCCAGTGCAGTATGTCCCTTGATTTTATGATGGCTGGTACCAAGTGTGTTGATTATGGATTCAAGTAAGATCAAATCATTGACAACTTTTGTCTTTTCTCCATCTATCATGATGTTGCCTATCAGTCTAGTGGCAAGATTTATTTTTTCTTGACACTAAAATACAATCTGTATTAAAGACTGTATTCATTGATCTTCTGCAACAAGTGCTTCAAGTCTTCCTCACTTTCAGCAAGCATATTGTATCATCTGCAAGTTATTGATGAGTCTCCCTCCAATCTTGATGCTGCGTTCTTCATAGATTCCATCTTCTTAAATAATTTGCTCAGCGTACAGATTGAAAGTATAGACATAGGATATAATTCTGATGTGTTACCTTGCTCTGTTACACAACAGCCTCTTAGTCTAGGTATAGGTTTCACATGAGGACAGTTAAGTGCCTTAGAATTCCCATTCTTCTCAATGTTAGCCATAACTTGTAATGATCCACATAGTCAAATGCCTTTGCATAATCCATAAAGCTAAATAGACATTCTTCTGGTATTCTCTATATCCAGCCATGATCCATCTGAAATCAGCAATAATATCCCTGGTTACCAGCCTCTTTTAAATACTACTTGAAGTTCTGAAATTTTCCCATGTGTGTTCTATTCTAGCTATTTTGAATGATCCTTAGCAGTATTTTTCTTATTTGTGGTATTAATGGTACT